CACGTTGCTTGTAACGTCATCACGGCTACAAACGCTTGCGTCCACGACGCCACGGACCTACCAACCCCAACCGCTCCTAAAAGTGGAACCAAAGACCGACTGCGGTGTTCAACTAAGTCTATGAAGAATCGCGACAAGTTTTCGACCCCTGGGACAACCACTAACTCGTTTTTCAAAGCAGACGCAAACCCAGAAAGAGAGCACCAATTTTCGACTAAATAGTAATGAGCGAAAGGGAGGCAGGAGGAAGAGTTGAAAGAGTGCGGGATGGTCGTAGGCGGAGGCCGGAAGGGATGGGAAAGAGTTTGTGAGGTATATGTATATCAAAACAAAGTCACACTTTACAGGGACACAGAGGGAACGAGTGGACGGGGGAGTAGGCGGCATCTAGCCGAAGCGGGCATCTCTACGTTCCTCCTTATTTCACATACACACAAAGAAAAACGCGCACGGGCGCGCGGCCTGCCGCCACCAGAGGCTGCAAGGATGGAGAGAGGGGGAGGAAAGAGCACAAAGGGGGTGGCGTGGAGTGGGGTGGGAGAAAGGCTAGAGCACACGAAACGCAACAACGCTGCGGCGGCAAAGGTAGACACGTAAAAAAGGGGAAACATCTCGGGCTCGGGCTGTAAGTAGGGAGTGAAAGTAAAGAGAAGCGAGCATTCAGGCCATTCCATAGCCCTCGCAGCACTCTCGAACGGCCGTCAGGAGACGCTTCCGTAACTGTTCGTACGACTCATAGGGTGGCAGCTCCAGAGTGTTGAAACTGGTGAAGAGAATAGAGAAGTGGTATCGTGAATGAGAAATGACTGCTTAATTACCCATAAATTCATCCCCAGCTTGCTTATCCACCTCCTCATTCGTTTATTATCATCACCATCACCATCCACTAACCGTCTAGTAATCGCTCCACCCGCACGCTAAACAGCCTATTCATTCATCCACTCACAAAATTACTCACCCAACGATTTCTCCACAGCTCTCTCAACACTTGAGGGTAGGCATTGACTTACCAAGTGTGTGCAGAAGGAAGATGGTTAGTGCTGGAGACAGCAGCCCGACAGATCTGGAATTTCGTGGGTCCATGCATGCCTTCAAGATTGGCGAAGCCACCCAAAGGCACCCGACTAGTGCCTGTGAGGAACTGTAGGAATCGCGCCCGATCCTCTTGATCGAAGGACTCGAGGGCCTGCCAGAACCACTCCACCTGTGGCGAGGTGGGCTGGTACTTTGAATAGGTGGTATTCGCGCGTAGGTCATCGATATCGATGTTGGGCAGACCCGAGATAAGCAACTCCAACTCTTGCTCGTTGAAGATGTTAATAAGGCTCTTTGGAATGATGCTATAAAAGCCCTCCAGGAAGGCGCCCAACTGCTGCCGAATCGCACCGGTCATGCGCTCCTGACACACCAGACGCACGTATTCGTGTTTATTGGCCTCGGTCACCACAATGTTGCGTCCGTTCTCGACCAGATCGCGAGTCTCATTCTTGCCAAACTCATTGATCTGGAGCGAATGGAAACAGAAAGTAAGCTGAAGGGTAAACCGAGGGTATGGAAAAGCTAATCAAGAAGCACCCACCTCGGTGCAGAAGGTAATCTCATAGTTCAGCTCGGAGACATGATGCGTGAGGAGGTATTCTAAACCCTTATAGAAGTCGTAGTCTTCACTTTCCAGATCTGTAAATCTAGGTGAGGGAAGGATAAAAACAAAGTGACCGAAAACGATCAAACAGAACAGATTGTCATCCCTTTTCACCGGTTTCTAAGCCCTTCGGCTCACTTACGAGACAGAATAGTATCTGCTCCGATCCCAACAAAGCAACTTCCAAGCTTAGCGGAAAAGACACTCACCGAACACGTCGGCCTAGAATGTGTTTGTAGAAGGAGCGAGTAAAGTAGCACTCCAACAGCTTGTTGTCATAGATGGCCTTGGCGATGAACCGGCCAACAAATCGGAAGTAGCTCAGGTGGTTACTGTTAATGAATGACGCCGGATTGATGGTATAGGTGACCCGATCCGACGGTGACACTCGGAAGAGGCAGTAGTTGGGGTTGAAAATCTCCCTGCTCATTAGGAGGTACCACTCCCGCAATAAACCTCCCGCGTCCTGACCTTCCTCATCTACGCCGAAGACGAGGAAAAATTGAAAGATGGGAAAAAGAGTAAAATTTCACCAGTACGTACAGACACCAAGCACACCAAACTTACTTTGGAAGCGAATAACGAACTTGTGTTTCCACACATCGGCACCTCTAGAATGCAGGCGAGTGAAGGTGTCCTCAAAGATGCGTTCTCGTGAAACCACCAAAGGTTCTTCCTCTGACCTCGGTTGCGGCGACCTTGCACGCAGGGACTGGAAGCGTTGGCGGAAGAAGCGCCGCTTGACATCAAAGTCTAGGCACTTGGGCTGGCTCAGAAACACTGTGAACGCGGACTCACTGATATTGCCCACGTAGTGACGCAGAATGTGGTTCAAACCAACTCGATGTTTCTCCGCAAACCACGCAATTAGATTGGTGTTAGAGGAGAGGGAGTTCACGTCCCATGAGGTGGACGCCTTTTCAGCACTCTCCGTAGTGTCCGTCATGGTCCAATCCGGTGGTGACATTGGACGCGTGAGATCGATCTGAGGACTGGCTGCTGCGACAGTCTCCGCGGTGGAGGGAATCTCCGGGAAGCCGTCAAAGAGGATGATATTTTGATCCTCCGTAGAAAAGCCGCTGTTCAGGCTGATGGGCAGATCGATACCTGTCCAGGAAGCAAGTCCCCCACCAATAACTCCACGACGAAGTAGTCCGGAGAAAGGAGAGTGGAAAGCATTCACGCAAGTGGTTTGCGAGGGACTAGCGTGAGCTAGACACAAACACTCCACGAGGGGTTGGAAAAGGAGAACAGTGTTGGCGTCGCTAGTTTCCTCGAGGCAGTCAAGTGTCATACTGAGACGTCTCCAAAGAGAAGACAGCGCCTCCACCGACTGCATAGATACGTCGGGAGGAAAGGAGAGGTGGAGCATGAGCCGTAGTATTCGACAAAAGCGCGATTGCTGG